TCAAAGCCATCTGTGGGTTGTTTTTGCATTTTAGATACATTTCGTCAGATTTTTCTCGTGCACTGTCGGTTCGAATCGATTGTTCCTAGTAGTTGTTTTGGCCAACATTTGATCTTGGTGCTAGAGATCTATCAATACTTTCCGATTTGCCAGCGGAAACGGTGCATTGGATCAATCTTTTGTTATTAACTTTTGATACAGAAATCATTTTTCTCTTTTGGTTCAAGGTGTCAAAAAACAGTGAGTCTTCTGGGACAATTGGGGTGCTCATCGTGATGCAGTAAATTTTCTTGTTAGCAACACAAGCTTTCTGCGCACCTGAAAACAGTCCTGGAATCTTCTTTTGAGAAAATTTTATCTGCTAATCAGTTGCTAGAGAGAAATAAGGACAAACATCGTGCGTCACTAAAATTGTTGAGAATAGTTGCCTAATAAAGAAAATTGATGCTCTGGGAAATTTTTTAGTGGAATGAACTCTCCTGCTGTCACCCCTCTCTATGATTGCAACCTTCCCTCTTCCCACAATTGTGGAGAAAGAGAAAGGCTAGTATCAGTAGTAGTTTCTGGCATGAAGATCCTACATCACTTAAGTGCACTCCCTATGGTTACGGCCATTTGCGTGTTACACAATGGGGAAACCCAACGAACAATTTATGTGATTAATCAAAATTGTCCTTCCGAACATGTTTTTTGAACGTCAACTTCCTACTAGAGCCCAAGACCGAAAACTTCTCATATCCCGAAAGTTTGCCACTCACTCCCAAAGCCTGAGAGAGACCGTCTCAGGGTGCTTCTGATGGAGGAAGGAAAACTTACTTTTAATGTCTATAACAAAGAGCCATTAATGTTGATGTCAGTCCTACCTTCCTCGATACTCCTATGAATCTCTTATCCTTCCAGCAGTTGGAAAACAACTAGCTTTTTCGTTCTTTAGAAATTCGTTCTCTTCCAAAAATTCTCATTCGCCTACTGTCTGTCGAAATTCGAGCACGAAATCGTTGCCATCTCAGAGACCTGGCTGAAGTCCAAAAGCTTGTTGGGATCTCGTCTAGGAGAGCTATGTTCAAATTACACTAGAAATAGGTTGATCGAAAAAAGAAAAAATTGGGTGAGTGTTACACTTCTTTAGAACAGTCTCTCATCCCTGCACGAACTTTGCTGAGGCGTGTCTGACCGATATGAGATTGTTGCTGCTGATATTTGATCTGCCGCTTACCCCGAGTTTATAGAGCTCCAGGTGTAACACAACTAATACCGAGCGAATGGTGAAATGTTAAAGTGGCTCTACTATACGTTGTTCTACCTGTCCTCTGGTAGGTGATCTTGATTTCCCTGTTACCCTGGCATTACTTGGTTAAGAACTCTCTCTGCTAATTCCGCATATCACAGTTATTTAAGTATTCTTCCCTTACGAAATATACTCAATCTCAATCTGCTGGTTTCATTATTCCAAAAATGAGTTTGCCTGATTTGATACTTTGCAGTAGCAAAAAACTCATGCAAGATATGTCCGTTGATTTTGGGATATGTTCAATAGGAAGTAGCTACCACGAAACCGTTACTCTCTGTATCAAAGGTCCGGTGAATGATTTGAAGCATGTTAAGCATGTTTGGGACTCGGCGGGAGCCTACCTTTCGAACGTTGATTAGATATGATTGTTTAGTTGCTGATACAATTAAAGTGAATAGGCTTTTCGTTTTCGTTCTGAGGTACTGTGATGAACTGTTTGTACCATCAAGAAAAGTCCCTGTGACGATAGGAAATTTGCCTTCTCATGTCATTACTTAACGAAGACGATGTTCATGGAGAACGGATTGGTTCTTCATGCTCCCTTCACGTTGAAAGGAACCATTATGTCCAAATGCACTAGCTATGTGTATCTCGGTCGGGAATTCAAAATGATGAACAAATTAGCTCCGGAGCTGTGCCGAAGGAAACGCGCCGCGTGGGAAGCATTTAAGAATATCGAGGGAGTAGTGAAGAAGGCAAGGAACATCCGGCTCCGCGCTCACCTTTTCAACACTGCTCTCCTTCCTGCTTTGACGTGCGCCTCGGAGATTTGGACT